TCAAAACAATAAATATATATGAAAGCTGTACGTTTCTATTATTTTTTCCAACACTGTATATACATACACAACTACATCTCTACACGTTTTTATACATATGTACGTATATACAAACAGTATGTACATATGTAAATATTTACGTACAGGTATCTTTGGTTGTTATTTTATTTAGATTTTTACGTTTTATTGTTATTGTGCTTGTGCGAGCACATACGACGTGCAAACCTTACAACGGCATGCCGGCTACTCGCAGTACATCGCCAGTCAGCAGATAACAAACAAGATACCATTGAGCGGCTGCAACCAAGTCGATACGAAACATTTTGTGGTTTAAAACAGATTTACGAATTTTTATTCCTTTAAATTCGTTTGTGTATTTCTGTTATTTTTTGGAGCTTTACGCGAAAAATTGCACTTAAACCAATGCAGTGATTTGAATTTGACTTCAATTGAACGTCCCCGCAACGGGGAAGCGTGCTGCGTTTTGAGTCCTCGCTACTAAGGCACGCTATAAACCGTTGTTTGCAGGTGAATTAAAAAATAAAAATAAAATAAAAACTGGTGGCTTAGTGGACGAAGTCAGTGTTAGCGCACTCGTAATTTTGTAAAAATTTATTTTTTTTTATGGCATTTTTAACTATTTTATTAATTAGAACTATTTATCTTATTTATTTTCAGGTAGACGTTGTTGTCTTTTCGGTTAAAGTTAATTAAATATATGCAAAACTTCAATATTATTCGTCCACTCTTGTACGTCAATATTTGTCAGCGTTATTTTTGTATTAACTAACATACCACCACTACCCACCTTGCACACTTTTGGTGCGCCACATAACCTTCACCAAGTGCATTGAGGCGGCAGGCATTGAACTATATAAAAAATGCAGCGTAAACTGTTGCTGTACGCGCTAATCTTCTTAGCTGTGGCGTCTCAAAAATGCTATGTAGTCGAAAGTGTTGGGCCGCCCAGCGATACAATGGGCGCCATAGCCGCGAACCGCTACAATGCTGAGCACCAGCATCAACAACAACAGCAGCACCATCTGCATGCATCGGCACATCATCAAGGCAGCACCGTCGGTGGTGGTGGTGCTGGTGGCGGCGGTAGTGGTGGTAGTAACAGCGGTGCGCCGGCGCCCGCTGTTCCACCTTCCGCCACGCATGCCCCAAACCATCCATCTCCCTCGGGCAGCGGTCACATGGAGCATCGCAATTCATATAATCTGTTAAGTGAAGCTATGTCACAGGCTGTCAGCAATGAATTCAGTAAGTATGAGTGTAAAGAGCGAGAGGGCTGGAATTGATTGGCATGCAACTTTGTTTGCTAAGAGTGATTGCATCGGCTATTAAGCAAAATGCAAATGCAAAGCTAAGTTGCTAACGCGAAATTTAAATTTATGAGGATACCTTTTGTGGTACTTTGAGATTTTTGATTTCCTCTAAAGTTTATTTTAAAACTTGAAAGGGTTTAAAATAAAACCGAACTGCAAAGTGCCTCAAATACTCGTATTAGAATACTATATTTTATGAGATACATCGTTAAGCACATTGCATTAACAAAAAAAGAAAGAAAAAGTTCTTGAGGTGCGACGCAATATTGAACTCAAAAAACTCGTTGAAGATTAATTACATCCAATTTGCAAAAAGCGAAAAAAAGAAGATAAATACCTTGCGGTTAACTCGTGGAAATGATAATTATAAATATAGCATTTAAGGTGCGGTTGGTGATATGAATTTAAATAAACACGCTGCAGCATCACCAAGCGAGTCCTTTGCCAAAATGAAATCTTATTTCTTTTTTTTTTAGTAATATCAGCCACATAATTAGACAAATATGGCATTTTTTACTCTTCATGTGTATGTACATTAAAAAATCGTTTAAAGCCTTCAAAAGATCAAATATATAGAAAATTTCTGAATTTATTTTACTTTTTGTACTTCGAATTTATTTGAGTAACATTTTGCACCTTTCAATCTGCGATAAGCGAACAATGCGACCTCACCTCTTCTTTCGTGTTTATCATTTATTGCATGCCCAAAAATTCTATATAAATACACCAATCACACATCAAATCATGTGTCGGAGATAGCATATTCAAGAAGTTTGCGCAATATTTAAATATATTTTGTTATAATTAACGATTATTCAACCAAAAAATACACAATTAACGATAACCAAGTTTTCTCAACTATTAAGTCGGCGGCACCCACGCTTTTCTGCGCTTATCTGGAACAATTTTAATAAGCCAAATTCGTATTTACGATTTGCTTACGCATTTGTTGACAAATAAAGAAAAGAAAAAACATATAGATATGTACAGATGCGATCGACTAATTACCACCGAAATTCAAAATGAACTTATGTTTATTTATTTATTTTTAATAATTTTCATTTGAAATATAATTCAATCTATAACAGAATCCACACAAATAAGAGTTTCTAAAGATTAATCAAGTTTCAAAAAATTTTCATCAAAATTTTAAATTTTTGAATTAGAATATTTAGAGAATTTTCGGGTATGCAGTTTTATAGCCCATTTAATTTCATTGCAATAAAGTGCAAGTCGGTAAAAATTACTGTCGATTTTCCTCCACAAAAAAAAATTCTAAAAAATCAACTGCAAGACTAGCCACTTGAAACTTGCACATTATTATACTCAAATTGAATGGGCTACAAAACTGTATACCCGAAAATTTTTTAAATGTTCTAATTAAAATTTTTTTAAATGTTGAAAATTTTTTGAAATTGGATTGGACTATTTTTTTTTTGTGAAAGCTCTGAAACTTGTATTAATGTGGTTTCTTCTGTAGATTGAATTATATTTTAAATGAAAATTATTAAAAATAAATAAATAAAAAAAAACATTTTGAATTCCGGTGCTAATTAGTTGATCGCATCTGTATATATGTACATACATATAGATATTAATAAAAGAATTATCTGTGTGTTCTTTTTTATTATGTATTATTTATAATGCGCAAAAATGTAAAACTCCAATCCTCCAACACCTTTTTTTCCACTTACTGTCGAACGCCACTATCGCTTCAATTACTACATATGTATGAAAATAAATATTTATCTTTGTGCATATAATTAAAATTATATGTTTGTTTTGTCTATATATGTACATATATATTCTTATGTATGTACATATGTAGTTTGTACAACTTATATCCCGCAGCTTGGTCCATATCATTACAATTTTACTAATATTTGCTTTGGTTTTTATTATTCTTTTGATGTTCTTCAAATACAGGTTCATTGGGCAGTGGTTCTGCTGATGGCGCTTGCCATGCAGATGATCTGGATTGCTATAGTGGAAATTTGCAAGATCGTTTGGGTATGGAGGCAATACGTACGCTGCATCGTCAACTCGACGATGACGACAATGGCAATATCGATTTAAGTGAATCGGACGACGTAAGTACACTGCAGTATTTTGAAATTGTTTTTGTTTTTTTTTTACTGAGTTTCTTAATACGCAATAAGTATTGGAAAGTAATAGCTTCAACTTCAGTGTTAATCTGTTCTGTTTTTACGATTTTTTTAGTTTTTACGCGAAGAACTCAAATATGATTCTGGTTATGAGAAACGTCAGAAAGCGTTCCATTTCAACGATGATATGCATATATCGGTGAAGGAATTATGGGAAGCATGGCTACGTTCGGAGGTAAGTTGAAGATATACTTTTTTCTGGGTTTTAGTATATAAATGGTATACATATATACGGTTTTTGGGTATAGGTACATAACTGGACTATGGAACAAACGACAGACTGGTTAGCGCAATCAGTGCAATTGCCACAATATGTTGAGCTATTCCGTTTGCACAAAGTAACTGGAGCATCATTGCCAAGGTAAGAAAAGCATTTGAAAAAATGTGTATTGAAATTAAGAGAAAAATACTAAACATACTAAAATGTATAACAACTTAATCGTGCAAATTTTTTTATGGTTATAATACGATATCGAAAAAAATAGAATATAAAGCCAAAACTTAGGTTGATTAAATATTTGAAATCCTATTAGGAATCCTTAGGAAAAGAAGTCTATCCACCTTACAAGTGTTTTTTTATGAGCAGCTCTTTCTTGAAAGAAGTTTAACTGAAGGGCAAACCGTGTTAGTAAAAGCTTATTCGCTATCATTTTTAGATGTTTCCCGGACCAGAAATCGAAGATTATTTAACTTACTTGTATGTACATATGTATACTACTAATGAATTAAAGCAACAAAATTAACTTTTAGGTATCTCTTTGTTAGAAAAATAATAAATTATGTAATAGCATACTTTCATACCTAATAATTACGCAGAACTACTAAATCACAATTCAAATGCTATTTGCAAATTTAACGAGTGGCGCGTGACAGCAAAAAGTAATAATATTCGCTTATCATAACAAACATCAGCTCTAAGCACGAGCTTAGTTCAAAATACACAAAATATTATGCACCCTGTATAATATTTTATGTAAAGGAAAAATTGCAAGAAATACCCGACCCCTCCTCGCAAAATTATCGTATGTTACAAAAGCCAAATTTGGCAGGAAAGTGTTTTTTTGTATTTTCTCTGATTTTTCTGAGTTTAGATTTGCAGAGATAATTGAGAAATATAACTAAACACACAATTTTTGTTTGTACATTCATTCTTAGCACATACGTTAATTTCGCCCACAAGAAAAAATGCATTGTCACGATAAAATTCACAGTCAGTTTTTGGAGTTGCTATAGGGATTTAAACCGTAATATTTGAACAGGTGATACGTTATGGGTTGTTGCATCAAAAAGTGAATTTCGTAAAAAAAATGTAACATACGATCCTTTAAAATATATACATCATAGGGAATACACGGAAATTTCAAAATTAAAAGAATAGGGATCGAGTTAATGAATTAATACGAATAAGTTTCAATAATATGCCAAATTTATTATATTTCGAGTCAAAGTGATTATTTGCGATTTAAAAACAATTACAATTTTTAAAACTTTGGTAGTGATCTTTAAAAATATGCTGTACGTAGAACAAATCAAAGGGTTGCCCCATGCGAAATTTCGATGTTGATATTTTAAGGACCACCCTAATGTACATACATAAAACTTTAATGATTTCAATTATTTTAAATCTATGAACGCATGTAGAGTACTACATATATTTAATAGGCGTAATTAAGTTGTTGATAGTTGGTGTTGTATTATTTAGATAATCAAATTAAAAGCAATTCGGAAAATTTTGCTAATTAAGTTTTTACCAAAATTATGTTGAGTGATGTAAAATAAGTAATTTGTGTATATGTATATATATATACCTCTAATAGTACATAACTTATTGTTATAAAGCAATTTTGGCAAATAATAACACTGTGTGTGAGTAAGTTAACACGATTTCTTTTAATTTGTTAGCAGTTTAGCTAATATTTTGATTCAACATCATTTATTGTGCACATTGTGCTACAACTTTTACTCTCTCATGTTTGGGGGCTTAAATTGAAAGTATCTACATTTTTTTACATTACCTAATAGTCACTCACCTGGGAAGTGATGACTGACTGTTGTCGGCCTTCCACCATTGAGCGCCGCAAGATCTAACGGCAATAAAAAGGCATCGATTTGCCATAAAAAAGCTAAGCAACGAGCACCGGGTAATGATTTTCTCTAATGATGGCAAAAGTGCCAATTACATAGCGATGAGAATTTTTTGCTCCAGCTTTCGCATTGTGCATGATTTTATGACAATAGGGGAGTAGTATTAGTGGAACGTGCAATTAAACCAACAACTACCGAGCCGTACACTGTAAAGTTATGTATGCATCATCAGACCCACATACTACATACATACAGATTTAGTCACACATGTATGTAATCCGTGCATGTCAGTAATTTTGTGAGAAGTTAACAAACTTTTAGTTAGCAAGCGGACGGTGTACACTGATTCTAATAAAAACAGTTAGAAAAAAGTAAAAGCTTGAATATTCGTAGATTCTCATTTAGCTTTTTTAATTCGCTCATCAAAAATACAAAAAGTATAAAATATAACTACATAAAAACTTCTCGTGATTCAATGTTTGTATTACGACATGCTGAACGTTTCGTTTGATTCTGTTTTATTTACAGGTTGGCAGTGAATAATATGCATTATGTGGGCAATGTGCTGGGCATAAAGGATCCTATTCATAAGCAAAAAATTGCGCTCAAGGCAATGGATGTTGTGCTTTTTGGGCCACCACGCGGTAAGATTTTCTTCCAATCATTGTGTGAGTAACATAAGTAATATACTTCTTTTTTTTCTTTTATGTTCCAGAAACCGGCACACGGTGGAAAGACTACATTTTAGTGACTCTATTACTCAGCGCAATTATAGGTTGCTGGTACGCATATCAACAGAATAAAAATGCCAAGAGACATCTGCGACGCATGGCACAAGATATGGAGGGTCTGCAGCGTGCAGAACAAAGTTTACAAGAAATGCAAAAGGTAAGCAAGGGAATGAGGGAATGTAAATTGAATGTGCTTTGCAAAGCACTAAGCTTAGTGTACGGTAAAGAACCTGGCGATAGACAACATTGATTACCTTTAGTTTTTGACTCAGCTTATTCAGTTTGTGGTGCACGTCTGAGTGTTGCCCAAAAAATGAAAGAAATAACTTTTCATAGCAAAACTATCCAGTTAGGTATGGTAATTAAAGTAATTTCGAAATAATTAAAAAAACAGCCACACTAGCAGTATTTAATGTTTTATTCATTTAGGGAATTCACAAGTTATAACTTTGAGTAATCAGTGTAGATATTTTTAATAACTGCCTACTGACGATACTTTTGAGAATCGTGTACTTAGTACTTTCAACATAGATATTTTCAACACTACTAATAACAGCTACTTATGTCTTTGTTTATACTATTAAAAAAAAAAAGAAGAATCTTTTAAAACATTATGCCTTCCCCTCAGGAATTGGAACGTGCACGCATGGAGCAGGAGAATGTCGCGACCGAAAAAATGGATTTGGAGCGTCGACTGAAAGAGGCTCCTTCACTTACATCATCCAGCTCTGATTTGGAGGTGCAAAAGTTGAAGAAAGAAATCGAAATGTTACGTACTGAATTGTCGCGGGCTGAAATCGAATTGGTGGACAACTGCTGGACGCCGCCACCACAACTCCAATCTTGGCTACAGTATACCTACGAGTTGGAGAGCAAAAATCATCTTAAGAAACGCATTTCAGCCGAGAAACAATTGCAGTCAGCTCGTGAAGCATGCGAAAAGTTACGCAAAAAGCGCTCAAGCTTAGTTGGTGCCTTCGTGTCGACGCATGGCAAAAGTATTGATGATGTTGATCGTTCCATAGTGGAGGCACGCAATTCTCTCGGCGAAGTAACGAACGAGTTACAGGAGCGCTTACATCGTTGGAAACAAATTGAAAATTGTCTTGGTTTTAATATTGTCAATAACAATGGGTTGCAGTATCTCGAAAATGTATTGTACAGTCGTAATGGCGGTAGCAGCGTTGGTTCGAACAAGGGATCGCGAGGTAAATAAAAGAGAAATGAAAAATAAGATTGCAACAAATTATCGTATGCTTGTGCTAATTCAATTGAACTTAATCTCTTGCAGGACGCATAACTAGTAGCAGCGATGACTTAGATGATGAGTCTGTGCAAGGTAAGCCCAATTTTGACCACTTCAATTTGTTCTCGACTGAATAAGGCAGCTGAACAGGCGTGGCACTTTCTCACACTTATTGTTAGTCAAAAGCAATAAATGCAGTCTACATAAATATTTTCAAAGTTCGATATAAGAAAAGAGTAGACGTACTTAGCAATTCGTCACACAGTCATGTCATCAAATGTAAATATGTGTCGTTTTAAAGCGCTATCTCTAAAAAGGCAAAGAACAATACAGATACATAAGTAACAGTAAAAGAATACCACAATATTTGAGCGCCATTCGATTTGCGACATTAACTTAATACCGAAACACGGCAGGTAGCATGTTTACGCGTAAGCTATGGAAAATTTGAGCAAAAAAAAAATGATTTCATCTTCAGTTATTGCTTTTTGGCTGACTTCTTCCATAAGCATTATGCCTTATTTAGATAAAAGAAAATGTTTTGGTGCTAGAGTGCCAATTAAAAGAAAATTCGCTTTAGAAGCCCTAGTAGTTGTAGCTTAGTATACCAGTAAAAAAGTTGAGCATATAAGCGTATGACAGAATGTCGTTTAAGATAAAAATAACTAAAATAAAATCAGGTATAAGTTAGCTATAAAAAATAGTTATATACACATTTTAAAAAGAATTATTTTCATAAAAATATTTATATGTGATTAAATAAAAAGCTTTTAGGGTAACTTAAAGAGCATTTATAAAATGTTTACTAGCGATGTGAGACAAAAGTGTATAAAAAAGTCAACAGATTTCGATATTTTTTTTAAATATGTACTGAGTACATACTTAAATATTTATATTTTGGGCAGTGAGTACTGAAAACTTTGATATTGATTAATTTTTAACTGTAAAAATAAATAGTGAACTTCTATAATCAATTCAGGGGTATACTGTATCTCATTTCCTGCGACAATATTGCTACTTTACTAATTTTTTCGTTGTTATTTGTGTATTTTTTTCAAATATCTTATTGAGAAAGCAATTTAAAGGCTTATCGGGAATGTGTACATTTTAAAAATTAAATTGCAAATCTTCAAATCCAAAGTTAATAACAATTCAATTTAATGAGATCTATAGGGTTATTCCCTAAATACACAATATTTTGGCATTTATAAAGCGGAAACCATAAAGCAAAATCAAAAGTATGTTATTCAATGGAAATGTGATATACCCGGAGTTATATTTACAAATCGAAGGTGTTTTGTATAAAATTCGGAGAACACTTCCTTGACAGTCCTAAGAACAAAAAAAAAAAGCACAACATACGACATTTGCCAAACGTACAATATCAACAACAATATTAAAAAAACTTTAGCACCGAATGCGAATTGAAGTTGTGTACGCCCCGAAGTTCTACGAAACTACAGGTAACTGGAGTGAACTGAAATTTGCTGGTGTGCTGGCGATGTGCTATTTTTATTGTACTATAAAACAACTGCAATTTTGTAACCAGCTCGTCACCAGTTTTTCCGTAAACTTTTGTTGTAAAGAGTCGGCCAGGGGCTCTATTCTGTAACTGTGAGAAAATGTAGTATACACCGAGTGCAAAACTCACAACCAAAAACTCACCGACTATAATGAAGTGAGTTTTTCGGAAGAGAAGTGTACACAATTTTGACAGTTAAAACTCATTCGCACACATGCTGAATCGCAAAATGAGGAAGTTTACACAATTTTGACAGCTAAAACCCATTCTCACTCTTCCTGAATCGCAAAATGAAGAGTGCACACAATTTTCAGTGTACACTTGAAAACTCACAGTTACAGAATACAGCCCCAGCTCTATTGTTCTACGGCGTAGGCATCGCTTGCCTACCGGATCATGGCCAATATATGCCTGTACCGAATTTGAGCTAAATTGCACCGTGAAGAGGATTTTTCCAAATATAACGACTCCAGCACCACCTAGTGGTTTAGGAGTGCATAAAGAAAACCTATTTGTATATACATACATACATTCTTATGCACATAGATACACTTACCTTTGTAGTTTCGAAAAAAATCGAATTCGTAAAAAAAGTGCAATGAGTGCACATAAATATGAAAATGCCACGACGTGAGATAACTTGGGTGTACATATTGGAAATCATAAGAGTTTCACTAAAATTTAAATTCAGCTGCCGTAATTCATCAACTGATCAAAGGAGATCATGTTGATAATTACCAACCAAAAAAAAAAAACCACAAGAAAGCGGTTTCATTTTAACGTTCTTAAACAGGTGTTAATGAGTAAATTTATTATAAGCAAAAACCGTGGGCAGAGTATGTACATGCATATGTAATCTCATTGAAAAAAGTGTGTTTGCAATTTTTTCTTGACTACTCGTTTAAGAAAAAAACTCACGTACTATTTGTTTACACACTTCTGTCTCACACATCCTAAACACTAATAGTGTAGGTATTTATAAGTAACATTTCTCAATAAAAACAATCTACAATTATGTGCAGTTATTTTAAGAACAATCGACAAAAAAAAAACAATCGAAAAAAAAAATTTCATTCATTTTTAGAGTATGCCTCATTAAAATTTTACATGCCAAACCAGTGCCACGCCAAATGAATCGAATTGAATTGCAATGAATGTAAACAAAACCAAACAATATCCATACAGCAATGAAAGAAATCAGAATCAGTTAAAGCTTTTGAGATGTGTTTAACACTTGCCAATTGATTATATTGATTATTATTGTTGTTGTTGATGCTAGCAATTAGCTAAAGCAAGAATGAACAAAACCAACATAAACAAATAATGAGCTATGAAATTTTGATTGCTCCCAACAACGACGACAACGCAGTTAAAGTCAGTTAAGCGATGGACTGCAAATATTCATAAGAAAACACCTACAAACATGTATAATAAGACTACTCGATAGAAATGGAATTACAAAAAAAAAAACAAAAAAATAAGGGTTAACAAATTGGCGTATATACTTAATGAACTCAATTGCTGTAACCGCATTTAGACAACACACTAAACTTGAACATCTGAAGCGAGAAAATGTTATAATTTTATACAAATTTTTATATTCACCTGTGTACATTTGTAACTTGTGACACAATACACGCAATTTGTGTTAAAGAAAAAAGCGTTAAAAACAATAATACATTATTTATATACTTATACATATGTATGTACGTTAAACAGATATACATATATTCATTATGTTAAAATCTGCATAATTTTACATTGTTTTACCCCAAAATTAGCGCAAGCGTTTTATTAATATTCTCCTGTTACCTTTTTAAAATTATTTTTACGCATTCTTTTACATTTACATGATGTGTATTTATAAGCTTAATACATATTAAAAGTGTGTGTTTACATACATACATACATACCTTATTGTTACTATTTATATATAACATACTTCTTTTTAGTTCAATTCATATTTAATTTTTAGTTTTTAGTTTTTTTTTTTTAAATAATATTTAATGTTAACAACGAATGTGCTTAATCCCTTCCGGTGTTGTAAGTTCCATCATTGTTAATTTTGGTTTATTTGCCTGCTTATTTGACTTCACAAAGTGTTACACCTATTTGAAATCTATCCCTTTGTTTTTAGTTAATCCTTCTTACTACGATTTGGCTATTATGTAATTTGTTTATCTGTCATATGGCAACTTCTCAGTGTATTCATTGAAAATTGGTGAAAAACGTGCGATCATTGCATTGCAAATGGCATAAGACGGCGGCAGCATTTACTATTTGTTAAACCACAAATCGTTTAGCGTAGACAGTTATATGTGGCAAAGGGAAAGCGAGCAGAGCGAATACGCAATGGCTTTGTTTGTTTTTTTCTTTTGGGCGGGTTTTGAAATATTTACATTTAACTACCTCCGCTTTGCTACTGCCTTAATACCACCACCCACAACTGTCTATACCTACCATACACGCGCATTTTAAATACTAAGTTTTTTTTATATACCTACAATACATTCGTGAAATGGCCTGAGTCATGACCAACACATTTCCTCTGTGGCATACAGTAAACTAAATTTGTTGGACATTTTACGGAGTAAAGATTATATACACCATTTTTCCATTCTCATATTTAAATTTTACAGTGTTTAGTTATTGGTCGGTTTGTGGAAATCGCTTTAGTCTACATACGGAAATTACTGAATCATTCCAACTATCGGACGAATAAGTGTCCGTGGACACTTACTTCCCCCATAACTGAAGCGACAAAACCACCGGAATGGATTAACATCAACACAGTTGTAATGAAGAAAAAAAGTGTTTTGAAATTTTTCTTGAATATTTTAATATATGATAGACATACAAACATAATGCCACGTTGAATGTGTCTCCGAATGCAATAAATGCAAAAATGTATTCTCAGGAAAAAAAATCATAAACAATACGAGTTTTTGCTTTAGAGATTTTACATCAAATGCTTAAGTAACTGTTTTTATTGATACCAGTAAAAAGAGTTAATTGTTATAATAATTTTTTTCCTTTAAAATTGCAATAAATTTTTTAAATAACACAATTTTGTTTCATTTCATTGTCTCACGCGTCATTCCATTCCATTTTTCCTGCAAATTATGTTTAATTTTCAGATACAATTTTGCTCCGTTTTCTTTACCATGGAGAAAGTGCCCACATATAACAGATTTCTAAACTAAGAACAATGATGAAATACAAAGCAAATTAGGTTAAACTAAAATAAAATGGAATAAAGCAAACAAATTTATAAATATAATTGAAAATTTAAAAACAAATAAAATATATAAAAAACTAAATATGTGTAATGAATTTAATAGAATTAAATAAAATAACGAAAAATTAAGTGTAATAAAAATAAATAATTAATAAAGAAATACATCGAACTAAATTAAGAAATTAAAAAAAAAAAAAATTAATAAAACCGACCTAAACTAAATAATACAATATTAATGTCTTAAAAAGAAATAAATAAAATGAAGTCAGTGTGAATTTATATTCAATAACGTTTTTTTATAATAATAATAAATTTGTGTATAAAATAAAGCAA